TCAGTCAAAAATGAAATAGCCTGCATCTCTTTCACTTCTTCCTCAGCGCTCATAAGCGCAAAGCCATCAGGAGCATCTGTGAGCATCTCCTCTGACAAAGAGTACCTCACAGGGGCACTCATGTCATCGAAGATCGTCTCACCATTGTTGACCTTACAGCCAGCTTCATCTTGACATGAGGTCATCATGCCTGACAGCAAGTCCACCTCACTGTCATGGACTTCAGCTACTGTTGTCACACAATGTGCAAAGAAACCTTGGTTGCTTCCTGATGCTTGTGAAGTTCTTGAAGGTGCAGGTAAAGAACGTGGCTGTTGTTGATTTGCGTAGTTTGCATCTTGTTTGCCATCTCCTTTATCTTTTCCTTTTCCTTTCTTGCCTTTTCTCTTGCCTTTTCCTTTTCCTTTGTGGGAAAACCATGCTTCTTCAAGCTGTTGCCAAAAGTCATTGGCATCTTCATATTCTCCTTGAAGATAGTCATTCATATCGTCGGCAAGGATAGCATCATACGCTACTTGATTTGACTCCCAAGTGTCCTCATAAGGATTCTCTTCATAATACTCTTCTGGATAAGTTGTCGATTGCTCATCAGCATAATGGCCTTTACCTCATCTCTTTCCTTTTCCTTTTCCTCGAGGTCTGAAAAATCTGCGGCCTGATCTTCCTTTTCCTTTTCTTCTTCCTTTGCCTTTGCCTTTTCTGGCTCTTCTTCCTTGGAATCTCCTCTGGAACCAAGAGAAATTCTGTTCATCATATACCCAAAAGACATCGTCCAGGGCATCTAGGAATCCTTCTGTTCCATCTTCTTCATCTTCGGCCCAATAGCCAAATGTACCATCGAGTTCTCCTTCGTCTAGTACGAGAAATGATCTTCTACCTCCAGCACCTGTTGGCTGCATAAGAGGATTGTCTACTGAAGTCTTTGTTGTGCAGAACATCTCAATGAAAACTGTCCTCAACTCTGTTGTGGTGTATTGCTGCAGGACTCTACCACGATGAGTCATCAAAGAGGTCAAAGTGTTCCTCTGGTCCTGAGACAAACCCGCAAGTGACAGCATGAGTAGGGCAATCAGATTTTCTCCCAAAGGAAAATCATTCTGATGAAAAGTTCTCATATTGCCATTGATGGTCTGCATGATTTCCTGAATCCTTTCTGCCGTTGGAGCTACTCCAGTCAACGCTGCATCAGCCTGCATCTGAGCTAGGACCTGAGGATGTGCTTGTGTGACTGGCTCTAACATGTCCATCCAACTGCTCATAAGCCTTTGGAGTAAAATCTGAAATCTTGTCATCCACTTCATCATGTCGGCTGATCCTCGATTGAATCGCACGAATTGCATAAACCTGTATAGGAATACATTGGTTGATCCTTTCACAAAATATGGTCGTAGTACTCTCTTGAAGTAATCTACTCCAGCTCCTGGTGGCTCATTAGCCTTCAATGCATCTCTGTCTAAAACTCGCTTGTATACAGCTGCTTCTCCTTCTAGTCGGTTTCTCAATGCTGGTCCTCTCTTCTCATCCTCCAGCTCGGTGATATCACACCAATCGTCTATGGCATCCTCATAGGAAAACCATGAAGTCTTTCCATCATAAGATGGGGGCACCTTTGTAGTGACCTGTGTTGTCATTGCTATAGCTGCTGGTTCTCTTCTCACATGCCTATTCACGTAGGCTGCTGGCTCATAAGCCACATCCGCATCAGGCTCTTCCCAGTCGTCAATCCAATCCATGGCCG